AACTTGTGCACAGTTATGAAATGAAGTTAGCATTTTTTTTATTGTGTAGTATTTTAACGTTTTCTTAACCACAAAGTGTTACTTTAAATCAATTGATCTTAATTCTGTTAGGGAAGAATTCTTTTCATATTATACTATAATAAGGTGTAAGTAAAAGCACCTTGGAATAAATAGTACAGTACATACAACAATTATTATTATTATTGTACTCTTTTTTTATTAAAATAAAGGCAAATTTTGGAAAAGTACTAGTTAAATTTAAACTAACAGTCGTCCGCTATGGGTTTTTCTCTTTGTCAGCAATTTAGGGCGTAATGTTGTTAGTTTTTCGTGTGTGTGTGTGTGTGTGTGTAAGTTATAATGCAGCTTTGTTTATTGATGAATAGTCGATAAAGGTACACAAATGCGCAAAACAAATCATGTGATCAACACTACAATTGATAAAAAAGCCTTTGGTCTCTTGTTAAGTAAGATAGTGTGACTTCTAAATGAGTTTGAACGATTTTTTTTTCAAGAGTTGTTTTGTAAGGATTAGATTTGATTTACGAGTTTGACTACGGATTGATATCAGAGAACCACTGAAGACCAGGGAGTACTGCCAGACAGCTGTTTCACCCTAGTTTAGGAATCATCGGCAGTACGCACCCACTGGGGTTCGAACCCATGAACTTTCAGTTACAAGGCAAGCTCGTATACCATTCATCCACTGGGACCCAGATTCAATGACCAGTCCATGAATTCTAACTTCTACCAATTCGTGATTTAGCGTGACCATCAACCAGTGTCATCAGTGGGAAATCCATCCTTACACTTGACTGGATGGACCTCACTGGTCACGACTTCTTACTGGAACTCCAGGAAACTGCGTCCTGTAGCAAGTCACTAGCGAGCATCAGATTAATTTTTAAAGAGTTGTTTTGTAAGGATTAGATTTGTTTTTACGAGTTTGACCACGGATTGATATCAGTTAGAGAACTATTGAAAACCAGGGAGTACTGGACAGCTTTTCGAACCTCAGTGAGTGCGCACTGCCGATGATTCCCAAACTAGGTTGAACGTTCTTACTTATTTTTGGGATAGGTATTCAATAACTTGAAAGTTTGCTAGTATAGCTAACTAGCTGACAGTAAAACACAAATGTTGTTCAATCAACAATATGAGAGTAGTCATTATTATAAAAGTTTTTTGTATTTCCTAATGTGAATGAGAAACAAAACGATATTGTTGTTTTTACTGACTTTTCACTGTTTAATGCTACTAATAGCTTTATCAAAGTATTATTATTAAACCAGAATTTACAAAATCTCAGCTTATTTATATATATATATATATATATATATATATATATATATATAAACTTAATTATCGTTCATCAGCATGGGGTAATGTTTACGTTGTCAAGTTGGCCAGTTGGTATAGATAACAAAATCAAGTGTAGATTGTTAGACTTCATAAGCGTATGAAATCATAAAAGCAGCATGTGTTTACATGATGAAATTGCTTATCACATTTGTGTTGATTTTGTCATTTCATGTGGAAGGGGGGGGTGTTGTAACCAGGGCAAATTTTGTCTTAGTCCATCACTCCTATTTTTCTGATAATTTGGATTCCGTTTGAAATGAAGTGCTTCTGATGATATTAAATGGTCTTTGTGACTTCTGAAATTTTTCTGGATGATGATTTCAATATTGTCAAAATCAATTTTGTGACCTGATTCCATAGCGTTTAGACCTATGGCTGGCTGATGATTTTTCAAGCTTTCCTAGTTCAACCAGATTTCTCGGTGGTCAAACAGATCCTCTGCAGTGTTGTTTTGCTCTCATTTTGATTTCTCACGGATGTTTGTCCAATGTATATCGCACCAAATTCCAAGCATTTTATTTTAGATAAGATTACATTGAGAATCCTTAGGGATTTGGTCTTTTACATGGACAAGGTTGCTTTGTAGTGTGTCTGATGTTTTGAAGAAAACTCTGATGTCGAGCTTATCGAGTACTCTTGTGATATCGTCTGACGTATCCGCTCTATATAGAATGACAACTGCTGAGGTCCATGTTTTCGGAATACGTTTTCGACCATATTTAATGACAGTGTTGATTTTTCTAGTGAAGTTCTTTTTTTTTGCAAACTTCAGTAATGTTTTATGTTTTTTCTCTTTCCTCCTCATCCATTATCAAAGAGTGTGCCTGTCTAAGAAGACTTGTGACAAATGATACCTTTGTACTGGTGTGTTGTGATGGTCTGAAGTCTAAATATTTGTTGGAGTGGGTTTTCTTCCTGAATATAGATATATTAAAATATCTATTTTTCCTTCTCTTAACTAGGCAGTCTAGAAATGGTAGTTCAACGACGTCTGATTCTGCTTCCGAAGTAAACTGGATTCTGGGAGATACATTGTTTATTTTCTCCAGGAATGAACTGTGTAGATCTCGCTTAGCACGACAGAAGTATCTTCAGCGTATCTTAACTATATTTTAGGCACATGTATGCTTGAAAAGATGTTATTTTCGAATCTATTCATGAAAACGTCAGCGACTATTGAGGAAAATAGTGAAACCATAGCAACACCATTTGTCTGTCTATATAAATTCTCTTTAAGTGTAAGATAATTGCTTCTCAGACAGAGTTTCAGGCTTTTAATTATTTCACTTGTGTCCAGTGGAAATCTTTGTGATAGTATTGTGTCTGATTATAGTAAGCTGAAAATGATATCAAGACTTTCGGTAATAGGAATACTAGTATATAATGAGTTAATATCATAGCTTACCATAATGTCTTCTTTCTCAATTTCTCGGTGTTCTATTTGGGATTTGAAATCATATGAATTTCTCACAATATTTTGAGTGTCCTTTCGCAGTGGTTGTAGTATCGAGAGTAAGTGTTTACATAGGTTGTATGTCGGTGAGTTAGTAAAATCTACTGTTGATCTTAATTGGACTGTGGGTTTATGCATCTTTGGTTGACCGTAGAATCTTGAGGGTGCTTAAGATTTCAGTTTTAGTTTAAACCAGAGAGAATTTCTAATTTTGGGTTTCATTTCTTGAATTCAGTTTCATTTTGTTGAATCCGTCAGATTTCTTTTTTTCTTCAATGAGTAAGTATGGTCCTTTGGATAGGTGTTCAATCGCCTTCTTTTCATAATCCGTTCTGTTCATTATCACAGTGACGTTTCCCTTGTCGGCTTTAGTTATAACGATGCTTTTGTCTCTTTTCAAATTTCTTAGGGCTTCATATTCCTGTTTTTGTGTCATTAATATATGTGATATCTTTTGACGTACAGATTGTGATTCTTTATTGGTGATCAGTTGTAGAGCAGGTTCGATCATAGGTGCTATTTCCTGAATAATTAGCTCCTGCTTATGAACGATGATTAAGTTGTTATATATAAGCTGAGATTTTGTAAATTTTGGTTTAATAATAATTATAATAATCCTTTGATAAAGCTATTAGTTGCATTGAATAGCGAAATGTCAGTAAAAACAATATCGTTTTTCCATTGTGGGTAAAATTAATTTTGATAAAGTCTCACAATGTGTTATGAAGTAATGTTTACTGTTGGCTTTTCGAGCACAATTTTTCTCTCATAATCAATTGAAGTGTATGCCTTCAAGTCACCTGATCCAAACCTGTCATAAATCTAGCTTTGAAGAATCTTTCTCCACCATCTATCAGGTACTCCAAATACTCTAAACAACAGAGGCTATTGCAATTCGCTTTAACACCGCTCTGTCCAGCCACTTCTGCCCACCCCCACCCCCAGCTGGCCTGCTGTGGAATCTACAAATTCACATAATGCTGTATTACGTTGGCTTTTTTGTTTTTAGGTATTATGGCCTTCCATCCTGTTCATATATTAAATTCCCTTAACCCTTATTATTGAACTTGTATAAGCTAATCATTTGTTTTCTTATTTAAACTTAGTCATTAACTTTCTGTCACATACTCACATTACCTTCTATCGAATTTTCTCCCATCCCTATCCTTGACATGATCATTCATCCGTCTGAAGTTTATAATCAATATGAATAGAACTTAATATGAACACTACTCATGGGAATTCATTTCTATATATTCGTTGTGTTATTCATGATCAGTTACTTTGGTATATTGGTGTTCAATTTACTGTTACATTTATACGTGTTATCGCATACACAAGTGTTTTGAACTATAATCTGTTAACAACCTACTAGTTATCAATACCTTTATTTGTAATTCTGATGTCAGTGGCTCAATTTTGCCTTAAAAAAACAATAATGCTGTCGATAGCAATAAGTCTTTCATTATTCAAGTATTGGTTTGGTAGGGATTTTGTTTGATTGCATGGAGGATTTCATCATGAGCTGACAGCAGTTAGAGAACTACTGGTCAATGGTCTACGAGCTCGCCTTGTAACCAGAAAGTCCTGGGTTCGAGCCCCGGTGGGTGCATGCTGATGAGGAGTCCCAAACTAGGACGAAACAGCTGTCCAGTACTCTCAGGTTTTCCAGTGGTTCTCTAACTGATTTCAGCTCATGACGAAATCGTCCATGCAATCTTTCATTATTATGGAAAATAAAACTGTAGCAGCTGTAATGAAGAAGAGGTTATTGAAAAGAATATTCTGTTCATTCATCAAGCAATCTTTTGCAATTTTTAATGGTCATCTTTAATCTTCATAAATCTACTTTTCGGCTGACTTTATTCACTAGGTTACTACTAGCTATTCATAATGAAGTTAACCGACATATTGCTAAGTTATTCTAAAATACTTTAGATTAGATATGTGCGTCCAAAAATAACTAATTCCCTCATAATCCTGTGTCTTTTGACTGACGACTTAGCAACATGTCGTTCACAGTCAAGTCGCTATGCTGATACATCGGGAAATTAGTGAGCTGGAATTCGGACACGTTTGTTTTTTGGTAACTTCGTTTAGTGTATCCACAGCTTACTAATTCTGTTAAATTTTGTTGTTGTTGTTGTTGTATTGAAACCTTTATTACAATTACATTTAAATTTAGTTTATCGTGGATATTTGTCATGGTCAATCAGTCACAGTGGAGGTGTATGACAAAGATCAGGGCAATAAGGATGATTATTTAGGCTGGTAAGTGTGTATTTGTTGTATTTTTAATAATTTCAGATAATAATCTGTTCAAAATAACTTGTTTTAACATGTACTTTAAAATTATATATATATATATATATATATATATATATATATATATATATATATATATATATATGTATGCATATATATATATGAACACACAAATATTGGACAACAGTGTCATGTGAATTACTGTTCGCACTTTAATGTAATTAATCTGATGCGCACTGGTGACCAGCTACAGAATGAAGGTATCTGAACTTCTAGTTGAAATTAGTGATCAGTAGGGTCCACCTAGTTGGGAGTTAGAATACCTACATCCCTATGACCCACTGGCTGGTGGTCAAGTTAAAATCACGAATTGGCAGAAGTTGGAATTCATGGATCTTTGAGTTGGCTTTCAGTGGCTCCTCTAGTAACCAAAAGGTCCTGAGTTCTAACCCCCCTTTGGTGGGTGCGTACTGATGAAGAGTCTCAAATCAGGACAAAGCAATTGTCCAGTACTGCTTCGTTTTCAATGGTTCTCTAACTGATATCAATGCATGGTCAAACTTGAAAAAAATCAGATCCTTGCAAACAAACCTTTGAAAATTAATTCTTTTTTGACAAAATTAATGTTGTATACATGCATACAAATTACTATTTATATATAACCGCCATTGTACAGCTAAGTGTGAATCAATTCGCCGAAAAGAGACTCATCGCTGAACTGTTTCTTCTTATTTCCAAGTCTATATAAGTGTTCTACTACCGATGTGTTTAATGAGGAACTTCAACTTTAAACTTCCTGGTTTGATATTCAAGTATTGGTTTGTAGGGATTTGGTTGGTTGGCAAGTCATGACCAGTAGGGTGCAGCAGGTCGGGTGTGAGAACAAATACTCCCCGAAGACATTGGCTAGCGGTTGCGCTACATCGTGAATTGGCAGAAGTTAGAATTCATAGGCCATTGGATCGGCTCCCAGTGGCTTAATGGTATCCGAGCTCGCCTTGTAACCAGAAGGTCCTGGGTTCGAACTTTGGCGGTGGATGCGTACTGATGAAGAGCCCCAAACCAGGACGAAACAGCTGTCCAGTACTCCCAGGTTTTCCAATGGTTCTCTAACCAATGTCAGCTCATCATAAAATCCTGTAACCGATCCCTGGTTTGAGTTTGAAAGCAATCAAGATCGATGGACAGACTGTGACACTTCAGATGTGATATGCTTTAGATTAAATAAACCACATTTATGCATATAAATTTACAATGGCTTATTAGGATTGAAATTGGTTCCTGTGCTAACTCGTTACTTATTTATTCAAGATTTTTATGCCTTTAATCAAAGCTTCATTGTTGAACAAGGAGAGTGTGTGAGATAATTTTGAACAAAACGAACTATTGGCGTGCACTAAATTATCGTTTGAGAATACGTTTTAGTGTTGTTTTTTTTTTCAAGTTTGACCATGGATTGATATCAGTTAAGAGAGCATAGCGGTTAGGGCGCTCGCCGACCATGCACATGGTCCGGGGTCCGATCCCCGGCCGACTCACTCCTTTACCTCGCTAAGCCAGAAATAATGCTGGTGAAGAGGAAAGGTTGGGCATGAGGCTAGCAACACCATCCCGTAAAATAAACACTGCTACAGAAACTTCAAGCCACCAGCTTGAAGCCCTATGTTCCACTGAGGAACGTGAAGGAAAAAGAAGAGAGCCATTGAAAACCAGCATCGGAGAATACTGGACACCTGTTTCATCCCTCTAGTTTGGAACTCATATGAATAATAGTAATAATAATAATACTTTGCTTTATTCCAAAACAGTACTTGTAATACAGAATGGAATTCCCTGCATTTCACTACACTATTGTATCCAGTTTGTACATTAACAATTAATAAAATTCTACATAGATTATGGGTAATCTCAGTTAGTTTTGACAACAACATATTAGCATGTCGGTAGCAAAGCCAAAAGTGAACAGAATGTTAGAAGGTGCTTAGAAAAGTAGATATTAGCATATTTACTGGCGTAAGCGGTAACAAAAAGGACGAGATATACAGAGTGTGAAAGAACGAAGAAGAATGTTTTAAGTAGAGTTTGTAAGAAAGAGAGAAACAAAACAGCACATAACAAAAAAAGAGAAAAGGAAAAGAAAGAAAGAAAACGTTGTACCTATAAATGATATGAGTTGGAAAGACGAGATCCAATTGTTCTACTGACTATTTAATGAATTATAGGTGTCACACCTAATGCTTTCTTTATCACACAGAACACGAGCTAAGTAGGGTATGATTGAGCTTTTGTACTTGCTGGTGCGAGCATATAGTTTTCTATATAGGCTTCTGGTTTTGCCTGATGAGATACAAAGGGAGAGTTGTGAATGAAGAGGGTGGTGTGAGTTAGATAAAATGGATTTGGCCCATTTTTCACATGAGTCCATGTGCCTGTCGACCAGAATATTAACAAGCTGGTTGAGTGGCACGTTGCTTACCCTGCTGACAACCTTTAACATCCTGCGTAATATGTTATAGTCTTTCTTCAGTAGCCTGGGAAAAACTAAGGGGGGACAATAGAGAATAATAGGCAGAATGCGAGAGTTAACGAATTGTAGGAGTAAGGGTTGGGTTATTCCAGAATGTCTTAACTTCTTGATGTAGAAGGTAAGACGGAATATTTTCTTAGAAATCGCTAAGATATGAGACGACCAGGAAAGATCAGCAGATAGAATGACGCCTAGGTATTTAATTTCCGACTTGGTTTCAATTTCAGTGCCATCTATGTTGCACACGTCGTTAGTGCTTACCAGTTAGTTTATTTAGGTCAAATTTATGACATTTAGAGGGATTTAAGGTAAGAAGTACGCATTCACCGTCAGGGTTCGAATCGCGGACCTTTTGGTGACACGAGAAGCTGATAAATCATTCAGCGACTGGGATCCGATTCAATCGCCCACGAATTCTTGATTTTAGCGCAAACCTCTACCTCAACTTTAGAGACTTTGAGAAGGCCTTCGACGGCGTTGACCGCGAAGTAATTTCGAAACTACTCGAGTACTACAGCGTACCCCAAATATTCATCAACCTTATTCAACAGCTGTACGACAACGGCACATGTCAAGTGATCCACAACGGAAAACTCAGCGAGGCGTTTGGAGTAAACACAGGAGTCAGACAAGGGTGCTTATTATCACCAATGATATTCCTAATTGTAGTGGACTGGATTATGCGTCAGACAGTGGGAAACGAGAAGACAGGGATATCCTGGACCGACGTGAAGAGCCTAGAAGACCTGGATTTCGCAGATGATTTATGTTTGATGTCACACAAAATCGAAGACTTACAAGCGAAAACCGACAAACTGGTCGAAGAAGCAGCAAAGACAGGACTGCAGGTGAACATAGACAAGACGGAGGTTATGAAAATAACCAGCCAACAACAACAACAACAGCAGCAACATCCAGCGCCAATCACCATCAACGGGAGGGATTTGAAAGAGGTTACTTCATTCACTTATCTAGGGAGCATTGTCTCAACTACAGGAGGAACGGACGAGGATGTCAAATCGAGAATCGGGAAGGCGAGAAACACATTCATCCACCTGAAACCAATCTGGAAATCTTCGTCACTCAGCCTGCATCAACAACAAAATTCGGATTTTCAATACAAACGTCAAGTCAGTTGTTCTATACGGATCAGAAACTTGGCGGGTCACAAAGAATATTTCCAACAGCCTGTTGCAGACCTTTATCAACAACTGTCTTCGCTGGCTCTATACTGAAGATCAGATGTCCGGAAAGAATCACCAACAAGAAACTATGGGAACAAACAAAACAAGAACCAATCGCTCAACAAATATGCAGGAGAAAGTGGAGATGGATTGGACACTCGCTGAGGAGGCCAGCTGGGTGACATCGCGCGTCAGGCCATAGCTCGAGTGGACCTGAAAAGGGAAGCGGCGAGTGTGACATCAGCAAGGGTGACATGGAGGAGATCGTGTGAAGAGGAGTCGAAACAGTATGGATTAACATGGATACAGGTGAAAAGTACAGCAGAAGACAGAAGCAAGTGGAGTTGTGTAGTTAAAGCCCTATGTTCCACTAGGAACCCAAGAGAACAATAATAATAATAGCGCAATTGACACTAGTCAATGTCCTCAGTTTTTGTTTTTCATTCGTGTCCCCGTATTCACACATAACATGAACATCAAAGTATTTTTGTTTTATTCATTTACATGTTTATGTCCTGAAATGTTTGAAATGCTTGTCTGTGTATTTTTTAGTTGTGTATGAGTACAAAATTAAATAGTGCTTTCAAATAATCACATAGTTTCTCGGTACACTGAATCATTCAGAACAAATAAAAACAGGTCTGAACGAATCATTGAAAGTACATTTGTCTTTTTGTTTTTTTTGTATTAGTTAGAATTCATGTATTTTTGTTGTTGTTGTTTTGTTTTTAATTATCGTATTTTATTTGTTAACAATTAAGTTCTGTATAATACTAATCACACATCTTTTTTGTTTTTGGTAATTCTTTTCCGACTTGTCATTACAGCACTTCAATACCAGTAGAACCCGTGTTCAATGAAGGTGAAATCGATACTGTGAGTGTGAATAAAAATTTGAGTGTTATTTCGAATGTGTTATATTGTGTAATATGCATTTTTGAAAATTATTCTTCTGTGTCATTGTAATCGGCCAAAAAACCGACTCATTGGGATCTGAACGTAGGAAATCGATTTTTGCGTCCTACTGTATTTTTTTTCCTTCATGTTCCTCAGTGGAACATAGGGCTTCAAGCTAGTGGCTTGAAGGTTCTGTAGCAGTGTTTATTTTACAGGATGGGGTTGCTAGCCTCATGCCCAACCTTTCCTCTTCACCAGCATTATTTCTGGCTTAGCGAGGTAAAGGAGTGCGTTGGCTGGGGATCGAACCCAGGACCATGTGCATGGTCGGCGAGCGTCCTAACCGCTAGGCCACCGACGCACGTCCTACTGTATAGCTGATCAAAAATTCCTTGAGACACGTGCAGTCACAGTTATTCGCCGTAAAATTCATAGTTCTTTTTAAACTATAATAAACATTAGAAACTTAAATTTACCTCGACAGTGCAGTTATGGTAGCTATATACAGGTCAAATAAATACTGTAGAACAAAGTTAAGTGACCGAATACTCAACTGTGTAAAAAGTATTCGAGAATCAAGTAGGATATGCCTGACACAGTGGGATTAAAATCTTTGTCAGCAAGACCGTTCAAGGTCAGAATGACCTTGAGCCACTCAAACTAAATCATGCATAAAATAACACACATTCTCGATACCATCATCACACAGTCACAAAGAGAAGCACTAACTTTAGAGACTAAATACGAACAAAGACTAATGAGGATTAAGTCAACAGATATGCGTCGGTAGCACAGCGGTTATGACTCTCGTCGACCACGCACATGGTCTGGGGTTCGATCTCCTGCCGACGCACACCTGATATCTATAGTCGGCCTGCAAAATTCGGTCTACCGATATCATATGCTGAAAATTCCATGAGTGTACCAAAAAATACGGTGTGGAATCAAGCTGTAATCAAAAAAAGAAAAGATAATATACAAACGTCAGAACAGTGATATGCAGTCTAGGTGTAAAGAGGAAAATAAGTACCAAGCATTTCCAACTGCCAGTCGCGGACTTTTATCAACAACTGCCTTCTCTGGCTCCATTCTGAAGATCTAGTGACCAGGAAGAATTAACAACAAAAAACTCTATGAACAAACCAACATGAAACAATTGCTCAACAAATATGCAGAAGAAGATGGAGATGGATTGGGCACACGCTGAGTAGACTTTTGAGTGACACTGAGCACCAGGCCCGAATGTGAAGCGACGAGTAGGTCGTCTGAGGTTGACATGGAGGAGGTTAGAGACTGTGGGCTATCGTGGTTCCAGCCAAGAAAGACAGCAGAGAATAGAACAAAGTGGAGATGTGTTGTTGAAGCCCTGTATTACACTCGGAACCCAAGATAACAATCACAATAATAATAGATTGTCCTTAATGGGAATATTGGTTTCAGAGCATTTACAAGGTAAAAGTAGAATGTCAAAAATTTCTTTTATTCAACAGAGCATAGTTTTATTTATCTTGTTTAGAACCCAAACTTGGTACAATATAGGCACCAAGTGATTTGCCACACAACAAAAATAAAACAACAGTACATAAAGAAAATAAGCAGAGGAATAACTGAGGGACGTTGTCATCAAGAAATCAAGAAAGCATATTTGTCAAGATCCTTCAACATTCATTACTTCATTGTACTTCCAGAATAGGGAAGTGAGAAGGAGAAATTGCAACATGTTCACTGTTGATTGCAATTTTTGACCATATGTATCTGACAACGCTTCGAGTTACCGATTTTAATTATCTCTCAGACCCTAACCTAACACAAATATCCTTCATTCCACAATGCCACGTCATACGCTGACTACCTCTCCGCTTTTTCTATCTAG